GTGGCTGACTAAATACTTTTTTGCCCCACTGTAAGCTCAGTCCACAACAGAAAATAACACCACTAAGACAGAGAGATGGAAAATACATACACACACCGGACCCTTTATTAGGTACACTTTGCAAGTATTGCCTTCAGAACTGCCTTAATTATTAATGGCAAAGATTTAACAACATTCTTTTGAGAATTTGGTCACATAGTTGCTGCAGATTTGCCAGCTGCTCATCCATGATGAGAATCTGCCATTCCACTACATTTCAAAGAAAGCAGTTTGAGATTATTTGAGCTGTTGAAAGAAACCATCAGAAGATGGGAACAATGTGGTCATAAAGGGATGGCTGTGGTCAGCAACAATACTCAATTAGTCAATTAGTAAGAGGCCCAAAGTTTTCCAAGAAAATATTTCCCACACCATTACACCACCAGCCTGCCGATTTAAGGCAGGATGCATCCATGCTTTCATATTGATTACTGGCCCTACATCCGAATAACGCAGCAGAAATCAAATCTGCTCAGACCAGCAGGGTTTTCCAATCTTCTTCTGTCCAATTTAAGGGATCCTGTGAAAATTGCAGCCTCAGTTTGTAGGTCTTAGCTGACAGGAGTGGTACACAGTGTGGTCTTCTGTTATTCTAGTCCATCTGCATCAAGGACTGATGTGTTATGCATTCAGTGATGTTCTACTGCATAACCTGGTTGCAGCAAGTGGTCATCTGAATTACTGTTGGTTTCCTTTAGCTTGTAGCAGTCTTGCCATTCAAGTCTGACCTCTACCTTCAAGGCCTGGATCTCACAATTTTGATGACCAGTTTAAACTTCAGCAGGTCATCGTGATCATACAGCAATTTGCCTAAATGCAAATTGCTGCCATATGATTGACTGATTAGAGCTTAATACGTGTACCTAACAAAGTGGCAAATGAGTATACATTTCAGTTAGGAAATTATTTTGGAAATGTTTGACATTCACTGCATTCTGATCATATGGAACTGACAACAAAATGAAATGAATTCAAATGATTTTATTGTCAGTGTAAAATTTTTATCTGCAATTAACAACAATGCCAGAAAATGGAAAACCCACAGAGGTCCACATCCATTCCTTGATAGTTTAATGCACCGGTGCAAAGGTGACTTGGAAATATTTGCACAACCAAGCAGACATTCTGTTATGATAGATATTTGGTTAAGAAAGCAAACTACAGGGACGAGTGCTTCAGACTTGACACGGGGGTCATCGATGGAAACTTTGACAGATAAGCGCAAGGACAGTGCATAACTCTGACCTTAAATTCAACAATCTAGTGAATTCCTCAAAGAGCGAGCAAAGCTGTACCCAGAGATCACACTGCTTAAGTGCAATATTTCCACTGTGTGGTTTCACAGGTCAAACAGAGAATTCAAGTATAGTTTTGGTTGTTTTGGCTGACGCTTTGGTCTGAAACTAAGGTATTGGCTATCCTCGTGTTAGAAAACATGACGCAAAACAAGAGTTACAAAGATATTTTGGATGCGTCTGTGTCAGTAGGAGAGAGAGAGATGAAAAAGGAGCACAGACAGAGATTTGTGTGCATGTGTGTGTGTGTGTGTGTGTGGCATTTACTTAAGGACAGTGACATTCTTGCAATGATGAAAGACAAATAAAGAGAGGATGCGAAGGACTATTGTGAAAAATATAAAAATCACACCATTGATGACAAGTGGGAAAATACGGCTTAGAAGTCCTGAATAAAAGCCTTGTCTGAGAATATTTTGTTTGAGTAGAGTGTGAAAGCAGAAGGTGCACTTGAAAAACAAAGCACCTTTCTATATAGTGGAGTGAAAGCAGAAAAATACTTTACTGAAAGGAATAAAAGAGGACATCTTCATATGTTTATATCTCATTATTCACAGCAATCACAATAAATTTCAATGTGCTTCAGTTTATCATTTCAGTCACATTTTGGTTTGTTTACTTTCAACGTCTGCATTATATTTTGCATAAGAAGAGAATAAAGAGTGTTGGTGTATTTATTTTAATGATCTTGGTCTGACTAATTAGGGCAAAAAAGAAATCTTGTAAGCATCACTAAAGATGAAAGACACTGTGAATTTGTTGTTTTTAACTGGGAACCTATTTTTTTATGTATATTCAGGTGCACAGCAAATATGAAAAGAACACACAGTAGTAATCTGAAACACTTACCTAGGGTTTGAGATGCAAAACAAGTCATGGCACTCTGCAGCCGGTCTGGTCTGACAGCCTGAACCAATAACAGCTGGAAAAAAACAAAAAAATCCCCACAAACCGATAAAACAAAAACCTTATGTCAAAGCAGTATGCGACATATTCCAAAGAGTCAGGTATTAAAAAGTAATTCCCTAAATTATTCATAGATCCACAGTCTGACTCACAGGGTGAGGGTTTGAGATCTTCTTTTTAATATATTTTAGAATGAAATATATATGCAAACGAGTATGTCACCTGCATGTAATGCATGTATTTGACTTTACAGATAAGTGGCTTCCAGTGTCTTTCTTTGTCTTGAGAATGGGTAATTTTTTTTATTCAATCTGGAACCAGGTGGGGAATGGTGTTTTTTTTCTTTCTATTTGACCATGGATTAGAAAAAGAAAGATTGAAGAATTTTTTTATTATACTAAAAGAAATTAGAGGGCGAGGTCCTCATCTGAAGCTGCCCAATCACTTTGGCTACAGTCACACAGGCCCAGAGAGGGTTGGCAACCTGCTGGCAGCCACTGGTTGCAAGGAGTAATTTGTATTCCCCAACTGGTTGGTGAGCGGTTGTCTGAGGTTTTGGATAGTTGCAAAGGGAAATTGGTCATAAAAAGGTACAAAGGTGCTGCACTGAACATTTCCCTGTGATTGGTGCTGGAAGTTGCCTGTAGTTTGCATGCAAGATCGCAACTTGTCTGCAAGTGCTCAGCAACTATATTCAAGTAACAGTTAAATTGTGAAAAGTGTGTCGCAAGCTTGAAATGGAAACTATTTGCTTTCACAGTAATAGCTGTATCTGTTAAAACATGTTGGTTTTAGCAGTGAATCACACCTTTTACTTTGAAGTTCCCACTGGCCTTTTTTAGTTTTCTGGTGATCAACTGGCATTTGGCAAGTGTTTACAGACAAGTCAGCATTTTTCATGCAAACTATGGGAGAGCTCGGCAATCTGCTAGTGACCAAAGCAATCACAAGGCAGCTTTTGGTGTAGCAATCACTTTGTGACATTTGTTGACAGTCAGCAACCTTCAATAAAAACCTGCCAACCTAATACACATTTTTCTGGGGTCCTAGGTTTATGTAACCTAGATCTTAAATGTACTGTATGTATGCAAAAGCAAAAATCGATTACACAAACAATTACATTTATAGCCAAGTTAATATACATATACATAACTTCTGTACCATAATATTATGTATTTGTACATATTATCCTTTTAAGTAATTATGATAATAACTATCAAAATAAGAAGAAGTAGATAAAAATTATATCTGGAGGGTAAATAAAAATGTTTAAAATAGCAGGCTGTCTGTTGTTGTAACAGCAATCAGTTTCTAAGCAGAAACAGGAGTGACCTATGCTGAAAGGTTCATCTTGAACCAACAAATGCGGGTGTTCAATGATTCTGTGGCTCACAGCTAAAGAAGTTGATTGAAAGCTGACCTGTTGGAAGGGAGTAATCTTCTTGGCAATGGAAGATGGGATTTCTTGTTCACAGTGCGAGCTCTGCAAGAAGGACAGCCAAAGGTCTGAGTCACTTAAACAGAGGGTCTGGTAGAGAGCCGGGAACGTAGCCTGCAAAAGAGAGGGGGCAAAAGTTAAAAGGGTGAGAGATGTAAGATGAATAGATCCAATCTTTAGCTTGGTAAGGACTGGTTCACTGGCAATCTATTTAAACACCTTTAAAAATGCATTTTTCATGTCAGGAGGCAATATTCTACTGTTATGTCTGTGCTGCATATTGCGGCAGACGGTAGATGATGTTAACATGGAACTTTTAAAAGAAAATCCATTTCTATCCGAGCTGAGCATGTATGCTTTGTTTGCTATTTTCAATATCAGTGTATTTACTTTTAAAATGGCCACTGCTCCGTGCCTCTCCTGATCAATCCAAGAAGGGAACTCCTACCAAGACAGGGGAGACGTTAGAGAGACAGAAAAATATGGTGTCTTCTTGTTGTTACAAGAAAAAGTTGAATTCTTACCTCTTTCTTAAACATTTCTCCTACGATGGACCCAGTAAAGACATCCCATTCCTACAACAAGCAGAAGAGTTCAGATTAACACATTGAAAGCTAAAAAGCATAGCAATCGATTGTCATTGGAATAGGTAATAAAATCCTAAAAATGAACAAACAAAATGACTCACGTTCTCGAGGAAGAGTTCGGGGTACATGCCTTTCACAAAGTGTATAGCAAACATCAACTGGTCAGCCTGCCACAGATGTAATGAAAGGAAGTGATAGAAAAGGAGAGAAAGAGAGAGAGAGAAAGGGTGGAAAAAAAGGGGTTATTTATCACTAGTGATAAAAGTTGAGTTCTGACATGTACAGGGCTATACTTTCTGCTCAGATTCAGCCAAATGCTTCAAAACCGACGAAATGAGCCTTCAAAGTACAAATTGTTATTTTTCAGGTTTCAAGTTTCAAGTTCCCCCTTGTGTTATTTTTGTCTAATATTTAAATTTTAAATATGAAATCAGGAAGGGGGCGAATGCTTTTTCATGCCACTGTAGTACACACTAGATGAAGGATGCACAATCACCTTCTTTTAAAGTAAAATAGGACCATTTTTAACAAGTTTAAAGCCCCCTATGATAAAAGTGAAAAAATAACACTGAAATATATTCTGTACGTACATAAAGGCAAATAGTAAAAATACATGTAAAATTAAAAAAAATAAACCAGTTTGAAACAAAGTAATTATAGTAACTTAGTTGCACCAGTAACTCTCAAGAAGTTCTTTCATTTCGAACATGCTTAATGTAAGACTTCAATGAGTCACGACTTTCTAATATAGCTCACATCTTACGTCTGTGGTGGTATAAATGGCCCATAACTGGCATTATATAAATCTATTGATTCTACTGAATTCTCATCATTTGCATGTAATAGTACCACAGTACTCAATAAACAAACACACAATGCACCTAATAACATTCACAGTGGAATACACCCACATTGCTTCTGTGACCGCCACACATATTTATGTTAATCTAATTTCATGCACTTAACAGCTGGCAAGGGCAACCACATTAGAATTAGCATGCTTGTCCGTAATAAGTCTCAATGCTCTATAAAGTGGGCAAAAAGAGGTTAAATGTGTTAATCAATTCATCCGGGTTATTCATAGAAGCTGATGTCACTGCTATCAGATGCAAAGATTGTAGTCTGTCAGAGAACAGCTATTCATCATTTGGGTGTATTTATTGGATGATTATCTAACGCATGGTAGCAAAAGAGGAGGTGCACACAGGGCTCCAGAATCTATTTATAAATTAATTTGGGTGCATTTTAAACTAAATGGTAAATGGCCTGTATTTGTATAGCACTTTATTAGTCCAAGGACCCCAAAGCGCTTTACACATCCAGTCATCCACCCATTCACACACACTGGTGATGGCAAGGTACATTGCAGCCACAGCCACCCTGGGGCGCACTGACAGAGGTAAGGCTGCCGGACACTGGTGCCACCGGGCCCTCTGAGGGTTGGACAAAGGAAGAGCACCACCAGTAGGCAACAGGTGAAGTGCCCAAGGACACAACGACCAAGACTGTCCGAGCCGGGGCTCGAACCGGCAACCTTTCGATTACAAGACGAACTCCCAATTCTTGAGCCACGATCACCCCATAAACTAAGCACCACTGGCAACAAAACCAGAGTTATAGTGAAGAAATTATATTATACAGCGCTTTGTTTTGTCAGGACCAAGTAGTTGTTATTTATTCATTTGTCGCTCCCAAAGGGGCATCCACACAGGAAGTGGCTGGCAGTGGCAACCAGAGACAATAGAAATGCATTGTGACCTATGGACAGCACTGACCAACACAAAGTAAACTTTTCTTAACTTTGAGGTGAGAGATTGAAGCGACTACCAGTAAGAGAGCAGCATGAAGGATAATCTTAGTTGATATTTGACAGGTTGTAAATAAATTAGAATGTTACCTAGGTAACCAGAGCCTGGTATGTGTGTGTGTGTGTGCGTGCATCTGTGTACCATGTTTACATATCTTTGTGGGGACCAAAAATTGGAATGTTACTATTTTTATCGGGACCAACAGCCCTTATAGGGACAAAAAGCAATTAGGTTATGGTTAAGGGCCAAGGGTTAGGGGAAGCGGCCAAGGAAGCGGCCAGGGAAAGCATTATATCAATTACATGTCCCCACCAAGATATGACAGGATATCACAGGTTTACTTTCCTGAGAGCTTCCTGGTAATTACAGGACTATTGTGACTGAGTTTCACTTTGTTTTGTATCAGATGCAAGTGTTTTGTTAGACACAACACATCCACACGCCCCACCTGTAAATAACCTAAATAAATCAAAAAAGAAAATGAAGCATTTTTACATAGTCCACATCTTCAAAAACCTTCCTAACACATCTCTGCTTGTCACCTACTATATTCTGTACTTTTACCAACCAGATGAAGACCCAGCTTGACGTGTAGCAAAGTTAATTTTTCAGGTTTAGACCAGACATCTAAACAGCCATGAGCTCTGTCCAACCCTCTCTATGCTTCATCTCTTCATCCATGTCTAAGTGATTTACCCCAAGCTGCAAAGTTCAAGCCCGTCTACTGAAGTGCTGCAGCAGTGGATACTGTACAGCTGCGCACACACAAAGTTGAAGAGTAAAATGACTGATTACACAAAGCACAAAAATGTGCCACATTTCTGTGTGCATGTGTCAATCTGTGTGTATACATGTTTTTGTAGTGTGTGCTCTGAGTCAGAAAGAAATGAAGCTGAAAGAGTCTAAAACCATAAAAGTCTCTTACTAGTATAGTATATACTAGAATAGTAGCAGGTAAAGACCCCGGGTAGACTGTAAAACCTTGACTATATGTCATATATGCTACTACAAGTGAAACTAGTGCCTTGTCCAAGTCAAGAGATGTATCTAAATTCTCACATTCAGAATAATAGAACTAGAATACAAACCCACATTCATAATCTGTTCATAAAGTCAATTCATTCTACAGTGGAATTTAACTAGATATCAGTAAGTAAAAAACTAAGCAAGTCATCACACAATATATATTTAATATTTGATGACCACCTGTTAGCTGTCTATCTATCCATCCATCTTCTTTGAGCATATTTTGTAAAAACCATGAAAATATTAAATAGCTAAAGGAGGTCAAATGGCATCATAATATATTAATTAATTAATTTTAGTATTTTAACACCTTAGTACCAACAGAGCATCATTTAAATGCCACAGCCCACATGACCATGTCCATTTGTTTTATATATTACCCACTGATAACATACAAATCACCAAAATTACCCAAATAAATTATCCAAACAACGTTTGCTTTGTAGTTCTGTATAAATATGTGCTTTACCTTGAAAAGAGACCGACAGACATACTCATAAACCATATTCTTCAAGTTGGCTCCTAATGCCGCAATCCTGGCATCAGTATTCTCTTCTTCCTAAAATGTAAAACAAACAACCACACAGACATAAATGAGCTGAAGAAGAAGACACTGGACATTAAATAGGACAAACTCATGTTACAAAAGGATGTCGTGTCACAAAGTAAGTTTTTATTAATACCAAGCAGGAAAAGTGTCTGTAACTGTATTTTATAATAAATAACTGTGTCCTAGATGTACTACCAAAAGTAGAATAATTGAAAACAGCATTTTTATTTTAGTGTGTTCTTTTTTTCTGTCATATCAGAGGAACCCAATTGTCTCAAGGCTATTCTGGAGTGCATGCGCAGCAATTACACCATGATAATAACACATATAGAGAAAGACACAAAAGAAACAAATGGAAATAGTACAAATAAATAAATAATTAAAAAAAAAAAATCCAGATGGACTTATTCTCTGCCCCATCTGTTTTTCTTTCCATGTATGTGTCCTTCTGCCTCTCCTATCTGAATCTCTGCTGTTTTAAACCTTTGCAAAAGCTAATCTAGGCTTCGTAACCTGCTTCCACTCAAGGTGTGTGTGACATTTTTTTTTCTGTTATATAGTTATATTTGAAAAAAAACTCTTTTTTTAAAATATAACACAAGTCTTTCCTGTTTCTTTTCCACATGGGTATGCTTGTTAAAGTGTGACTGTGTGAATCTATGTATGTAGGCAAACAGAGAAGTGTGTCTGTCAGCCATGAGAGGGCAAAATTCTCTTGTTAGATTTCAGAAGCCATCTGCACTTTGTGGCAAATTAAACTTGCTTATTCAAAACACAAACCAATGGATGCAAAGATAGAGAGTCCATGAATCAGTGCACTATTCTGACTATACTGCTGACTGTAAGACAACATACACACTCATACGTAGAAACATGTAAGAGTAGTGACCAGCTGCTGCCTGGTGACATTCTTGGATGGCAGCACTGGCTCTAACAACCCACACAGGATTTGGGAGAGTTAGTGTTCAGTCTCTCAACCCACTCTATGTGTGCTGGTGTGTATGTGTGTGCACATGCATGTGTGCACTCTGGTTATCAGACAGTGCTTAGGGCTCAGATGGGAAACAGCAGTGTGATACATGCACGATGTGCTCCAGCTGTACAGGTCAGGCTGAAATACTCGGTTGCAGAAGAACACAAAAATGATCCTTCAAAAAATGTAACAAAGTAAATTAAGCTGAATTTATCAAAACTAAACTGAGCTAGACAAAATATTCTGAAACAACTACAGACACCATATATCTTTTGCAGTCTGCTTCAGTGTAAACATATTGTCTTGCACTCATGCTTGTACTGATGAGCAATAAATGTATTAAAAAAATAAGCAGTAGCAAAACTGCTTTACTCTGGACATGCCAAAAACAGCATTTTATATTATTGTGAATAAGTTTGCAAAGCAGTTTTTTTTTAATGTATGAAACACTGGGGGGTCTACCTATCAGATGAACAGTGGATGGATCCCAGAGTCCTCCAGTCTGATTGGTGCCTTTGGGCAAATTACTGAACCCCAAGTTGCCCTCTGATGTGTGTAAATACTACAAAGCGTAGATAAAAGCACTGTATGAATGTGTGTGTGATTGGGTCAATGAGACTTGCAGTAAGAAAGTGCTTTGAGTGCTCAACTGAGTAGAAATGCATTACATAAGTACCACTTTTTTTTACCATCAATGTAAATTGAGCTGTGATGGAAATTAAGAAAATTAGACCTTCCCGTATAGTCTCTTTCCCGATAACAGTTTGTAAATGAATTTCTATGTCACAGAACCAGCCTTTCCCAGAAGATCTGTAATGATGCGACGCTTTTTTTTTTTTCCATCTTTGAGGGTGCGTGCCTAATCAGAACAATCGAAGAGTTGCTCTGCTCTTAGTGGTTGTTACGTCATTAGACTTGCCCAACAACCGCCTGGGCAACGTATGAGGCTGACTAGTCGAAAGGTACAAGGCCAACTGAAGAAAGAAGCAGAACTATCTGGTCAGAGCACACAATGCACTGAGCAGAACTGTTATTATATATTGGAAAAAAGTGAACAGGCTTTTATGAAATTTCCTTCTACGTTTCTTCCCAGGCCACTTTGCTAATTTAGAGGTTTAGGTTATCGCTTGAACAGAGCTAGCATTGTGCATAGCTCTGCCCAATAGCTGTGTGCATATATATCTATTGTTTATGAGCAGTTGCCAGGCAACCACAGAGACCCTCTGTTAAAAAAACTTGTTAATTAGCGAGCAGTTTAGAGGGGTTTTTTTTGTTTGTTTTTTTTACTGCTGGACAGAGTCGGGCTAGGACAGTTTCCAGTCTCTATGTTAAGCTAAGCTGATGAGCTGTTGGTGATAGTTTCATATTTAGTTGACAGAAAAGAGGAGGTGTCAACTTTCTCACTCAACTCTTTGCCAGAAATTAAATAAATGCATTATCCAAAATGTCCAAAGCTATTCTTTGAAGCTGAACTTATACTATTTCTTCCATACACACATGGTCCATCTCCACTGAAACATCAACTACACTAAACTGCCTAAGCATCAATTAGCTGGTATATTAATAAAAAGCCACTGATTGTCCATATATCCAATAATACACAATGCCACGACTGAAAACACATGAACACACACTGAAAACAGTCAACTGTTATTTTAAACAGTTTAATTTTACGCCCTGATTGTGAGACTATTTGGAAGTGTGGGTATTAACCTTTTTTTAATCCGTTGAACAAATTTTTGTTTAGTCACAAGGAGATGTTTTGTTGATGCTGATTTCACCTCAAGAGTTTATTAAGCACAATTATTAAAAGTGTCTTAAAACATGAGTGAGTACTGTAAGAGCTGTGAGGAATTTCTTGCTGCATTGTATACATTTCTGTATACATATTTTTTATTTGTTGTATTGTATGTATGTATTATTTATGTATGGTGATCTGCTTGTATTTCTTTTACCGCCAGTGTGGGACAGTACTCCAATTCCATTGTACTATTGTACAAAGTATGACTGTGCAGTAACAATAAAGGGTTAGAGCTAAAGTTAGCTAAAGTTAGAGCTAAAAGTATTTAGTTACCTTCTTGGCCTGAAGAGCTCTTTGGAAGAGGCGTAGAAAAGAGGCGAGGCTGAAGCGGTACATGTTGTTGATCTTTGACAGGTCTGTGATAACAAAATACATCTTGCTAGCACTCTCTGCAAGAGGCAGGTAGGCATCCCGTTCCTAAAGTAAAAGCAAAGAAAAACAGAAAGAGAGAGAGAGAGAGAGAGAGAGAGAGAGAAAACAATGTCAAAAAGAAATAAGGGACAAAACAAGGAAACAGTGAAAGAAGGACCACATATGTTGTGGAGTTACAACAGATGGATGGATGAAGACAGAAAATTGCACTGACATGCAGAAAACATAACATGCGCGAAAAAGCAATTACAAGTGTTTATTTCAATCAAAATGGAAGAATAGAGGGATAAATTAGGATGGACTCAATGACTTGTAATGAGAAAGGAGCTGTGAGAGAAAAAAAAGGTGCATGGGACCCGGGGAGAAATAATAAAATACACACACACATAAAAAAAAGAAAAGAAAAAAGAGTAAAGTGCAAAATCAGTTCTGGTATAACACTGCACCCTAGAGGATGAGTATATAATGCATTTACAATGTGCCTACACTTTTACATATGTGCAGTCCGATGCCTGCAGCATTATATTGCTCATTTTATTACATTTAATATACATTTGGCTTACTTGTTTAGGTACACATTCTGTGAAATTGACAGCATGTTACATCTACCTAAATATCTTGTTTTAATAATTAATTAGCAACTGTTTTACAGGGTCTCAAATCATTTATTGGAAAGTAGAACATATCTCAGCTAGCGAAGCTTTCAGGAGTCATCTGTCAAAGATTAGAAGTTACAGTCTTTTCGATTTTCACTTACAGCCATTTGAACTATGAAGAGTCAGAGTTTGCCTCACAAACATCAAGGTATGACATCCGTGTAAAAGGCCAACATAACTCATACTGTTGATTCCCAAAGTGTTACTCCTTTTAAAACTGAACCCCAAAAATGTATTTAGTATATAGGATTTTCATGGGTTGTGTGTGTGTGTGTGGTTGAAATACCTGGTCCAAGGAAGCCTGCAGCCTATGTGATTCCAGTAGTGACTCCTGGATTAGGGCGCTGCTTGCTTTGGTCTGGTTTAGGCTGTCTATTAGCTCCCTGTTCTCCAGAATATTCCCCTGAGCTGTAGCCAAGGTCTGACAACCAAAAAAGGACAAGTTGCAAAAGATCAGCAGGAAATAAGGAGAAATTTAAATTACATAGAGAGAGTTCAATTGGATAAAATCTTTGATCTGATAAAAGTTGCAAGGAAAAGACAAGTTGTTTGCATCATGTGGGGTTTTTATTTATTTTGTTGTATTTAAGCATTCATTGGGTGTCAAGAGTCTTCCACTAAATCCTGTGGAATCTATTCTCTGAAACCAAGTGATAAAATGTATTCAAATAAATTCAAATACAATAGATGAGAAAGCAGCAGAGCATGGAAATGTCAAGTCAAATATGCTCCTACAATTCAAGAATAATTATATGTCTAGTACCACTGAAGCACTGACATCTTGGTATCCGTGTGTGTGTGTGTGTGTGTGTGTGTGTGTGTGTGTGTGTGTGTGTG